TGTTGAACCTCATACAGCTGGCCTCGGCCCATCAGTCCAGCGTCTCCAGATCCCTGTGCTGAGCCTTCCTACCCTCCAGCAGATCGACACTCCCACCCAACTTGGTGTCATCTGCAAACTTACTGAGGGTGCGCTCAATCCCCTCATCCAGATCATTGATAAAGATATTAAACAAGGCTGGCCACAAAACAGAGCCAATCATCTTGAGATCCTATAAATAGCGATCCAAAAGGGAGACCTTTGGAGCTCTCCAGGACCGCAGCGGGCTGTGTGACGCCTCTCGGGGTAGATTTCGCGAGGGCTGAAGGATCGTCCATCGACGATTTCATGAGGACTCAAAGGCCCGATTTTGCGAGGTTCACCAACCATCCGTTGATGAACGCCGGCACATAAAAGTGAGTAATTCACGAAACTCATGAAAACAGAAATTTTATCACAGATTAACCTCTGCGCGTGTGTGTGTGCATTTTGATTCAGAACTGTTTGTCTGTCTGTCTGTGTGTGATTTGATTTAGAGATGTTTGTTGGTCTGTGTGTGATTTGATTTAAACCCCATCTGTGTGTGCAACCCTGCTGTAAGTTTTGGGTGACCCTTGCCATTCCCGAATCTTTTAACTACGTCACTATTTTGATTGTAACAAATTCCATTGAATCGCTCTGTTAAATTGGCTGATGCTTACGTGCTTTATTATACACCTTAATTCTGTGATCTATCTCAAAAATACTAATAAGTCCTAAATTGCTGCTAAACCAAAGCCTTGTAAAAAAAAATCATATTCGCAACAGTCTCAGACTAAGTTTTGGTTTTACTATTTAAAAAATAACAACCAACCAACCACACACAACCTTCAGTAACGTTTAAGACTGCTAGTGAAAGGAAAACTAAAAATATGTATACAGAAAAATAAGATCCATCAACAAAAAAGCCTAAAACCCGGCAGCCTCTCCTTGGAAAGAAGTCTGTAACATGGACAGGCAGAGTCTCTCTGCCATGTAAATGCGTCCATCGTCAAGAAGAGCCTGTCTAGATCAGAGGGAATTATAAATCTTTGGGAAAAATACTGTGCATGCTCTAACAGACCAGTGTAAATTGCATTGCTGGGAGTCAATGCAGATATTTCATCCTCTCTGAGTGGGGGTACAAGAACCTAAGCGTTATTTTCTCTCAAGTTCCAGTTACAAGCTCGCGCAAGTCAGGACAGATTCACCAATACAAGTGGCGACCAAGGCTGAAATAGGCTTAAAAAGAGAACTTATTTAGCTGGCACAAGACAACGAGCCATGACTAAGTAGTGCAGAGATGCAAGTCAGAAAAGAGCAGAGACAATGAGGAACATTCCAAGTGTGGGAAGAAAAGACTGGAGAAAAAAAAGCACAGGGGAAGAGAAAGCACTGTACAAGAAATACTGACAAGACAAAGCACAACACAATGCTAAAAGCTCTGAGTAAATAAATAAATAGAAGCATCTTGGATTGAATATCCACAAAAAGGGATTTTTAACCTTGATCTTTCTATCTTTCCATTCCCCTTCTGTAACTTGGAGCCATACCTTCCTCAGTCACCAGTGTGCTGTAAAATCAACATAATAAATGTTTGTAGGATGTTCAGGCAATACAGCACTGATCACTACAGAAAAGCTCGTAAAATCTTGAGTCTTTATGTAAGATGAGACTAAGAGGTGGAGACACAGGAAGGATGTCTCTGACGTTCACCAGTAAGTAGCCTTTCATTAAGCAAGTACTGGCCAACTCCACATGAGTAAAGGATGCTTTACAAGAACAGTCTGCAAGTATCCAACTGCAGGCTGGATAATAATGCAAACCTACAAGGGGGACAAATTTAAAGTTTCTATTTCTCATATAGGTGTTCAACGTAAGTCTAGCAGTATCTTCAAACAGGTCTGTGGGTGCAAAAATACTGAGAGTGGGTATATTACAATGTTCTAGTAGTATCGACATAGCATAGCTTTTAAAAAGAAAAAAAAAAGAAAACAACACCTGGGCCTGCAGTTTTTCCTATCTATCACATCAATAAGCTATTCCCTGTAATTCTGAAGAAGGAATACCTGTTTTATGCTTTCAGAAAGCAGCCCAGCATATGGTTTCTGGGAGAGATATTTCTGATATGCTTCCAGGACCATCAATGCAACTTCAGAATGGACAGCTGGATCCAGATGAAGAGCATCCTGCTAAAACCAGAATCATATCACAAAACTTTGCCTCGTTTAAAAGGTCTCTACAACTGTATCATTCAGTTGCACTACAGAGAAATAAATCTTAAATAGATTAAGTATTGTAATACCTAGGCAAAATCTTGGCCAGTAAGAAAAATTTCAGCCCAATATTGAAGAATAATGAGCTCACACTGGGCAATACAAAGCTCAACAGTTAGATTATTTCCAGAAAAAAGCGACCATAATCACTTCTCATGTGCATTTGGTGGGTTTATAGCAATTAATCCAAAGATCCATAGATGGCATTTTAAGTTACATAGTACAGACACTGGAAATCTTGCCTTTAAAACCAAAACAAAACCAAAAAAACCACATTTTTGTATCAAAACATAGTAATTCCTCTTATCAATTGCCACATTAAAGAACTATTTTTCCCCATATCAAAGGGTACAGACATGACACTGTTATTGTACAGCAAAGACCTGAGAGTTAATTTTCCCTACCATTCCTTTGTTTTCACGTGTCATCAAGAAACAGGGAGAAAAAGTAAGGCAACCTTCATGTACAAATATCAGCACAGCAAAAAGAAGAGCTCAGTACAATCAAATGCACAGATTACAATGCTAAAATGGATCACTGAACACAGGCAACTGGATTTTTGCACCAATCTATTTCTGTTTCTCTCTGAAAAAAAACATTCATCCTCGATTGGATCCTGAACTGATGGAGCTCCTGGAGTAACTCATTCTAGGGAATACTTTCCCATTGTTTAAATAATGCTTAGGGCTTTGAAACTCTTATTTCAATCGTGAGTTTTCTTGCATTGTGAAAAACAGACCTGGACACAAGCCTGCAAACTACAGCCACACCAGTCCCATTCACATTTCTTGGAGGATTCCTCTATTTCTCCAGCCACAGATATCTTAAGCGACTCACAAAAATTGTCCTGTCAGCTGTTTCCTCTTGTTTAGAGAGGAAACTCCTGCTTAAATACCTCTTTTAATCTCAGCTGCAGCACTACAAGAAAGCAACACAAGCAAATCCTCAGACAGAATGCTGCAAAATTACTGTGAAGTTCCCATCCTATGCCATCAAGTGTACAGCCATCATATAAAAGCATGTAATTAACTGTTTTCAAATGCAGTTATACTCCCAGGTTGAGAAATACTTTTACTCTCAAAAACTGAGCAGGCTTAGGCCGCCTGTTTTTAATACATACATGCTCACCGAATCCCCAGTTTAGCCCTTCCAAGATAATGCAGGCTAGTTTGTTCTCCACCGTGGTTAGACTGTAATTTAATAACCAGTCACGAATCAGCGCTATCTCAGATGAAGAAGGCTTCCACAGGTACAACGGCAGTTCTTTAAAGAGATATAAAGAAACCTTTGAGGGCAGAAAAGAAAAAGGCTAATCAGTACTCAGTATGGAACAATAATCAGCATTATACCCTTCTATCTTCAAGAGTGATATGATCAAAAAAAAACACGGACAGGACTTTAACACGATCCATTCATACCAAGCTGTTATCTTACAAGACAGTCTGGTATGACGTCTAGTTTTAATTGGGTGCCTGCTTTAAATGATGGAGGTTAGCACTTACCATCCCAACTTTCTCGATGGTCTCTCTAACTCGATCCAGCAGTACAGAAATAATCTGTGTATGGATGCTGGCAATTGCTCCCAAGAGTTCTCGACCAACTTTTGAAAATGTCTCTCTTGTGGAAAGACTAACATAAGACACCTGAGAAGATGAGCAGAGAGAAGTTACTGGTTATGGTTGACCATCACTGACACCACAATAAAATCTCTTTTGGAAAAATACAGAACCAAATTGTTCTTGGTGATTCCGGACAACGAGGTTGATAAATGCCCATATTAAAACTGAAACTGATTTCCCTAGAATATAATGGAATTATTATGTCACAGTGCCAAAAACAAAGTCCAAAAATAATCATAGGAACAGTAAAGCCACACATTTTAAAAAAAAAAAAAAAAAAACCCAGAAAAAACCCAAACCACAACACACACAAGGAATTTCAGAGGTACAAGTTAGACCTGTGTGAGAAAAATAAAACAAAACAAAGATGTTTTTGTTCATTTGTTTCATTCTGGCTTGGTCTACAGAAAAGCTGTTCTTTCTCCCAGAAAAACATGCACTTCAGGATATTTTATTTCAGTACTACATTATAAACCTCAGAAGTAGCACTCTCTTAGTTCCATGATAGAACAAACTACAGAAGCCATGAATGTTTCACACCTTCCACTGTTAGAAAGAAAAAAAAGCATATTCATCCTTTTCCTGAATGGACCAGTAATATTACTCACCTCATATATCTCCAGAACAATGATTTTGATAAAATCCTCATCGACATCAGCCTGTTTGGTTTGTGCCATCTGAGCAAATGTGGTGAGCAGACAAATCTCTTCCGAGCAGTTCATTGATTTGAGATACTTTTCAAAATTTTCAAAGTGCTCTGGGTCTAGAAAAAAGTCACATGAAAGAAACATGGTAAAAGAAGCATTACAGGACATACATCATCAATATTTATACATTTATTGACAGTCCAATCCCAGAGAAGGAATCAGTGACAAAGGAATTACCATCACTGCGTTAGTACCCTCTCTTCAGAAGTGCTTGGTATCAGCTGCTTTAAAATAAGGTGCAAGAAACACCATAATATGCAGTGAGTCCATATGATTCAGTAAATACACTAGTAATTCATAATGGAAGCTAAAACTGCTTCAAGAACAGCTGAAATTCGATTTTGAATATTATTTTAAGTATACAAAGTCAATCATTCACAGGACGAATTGTGTGAATCTTTTTGCTTTTTAAAAGTGTTATCATGGCTTTGGCTTCCATTACATATTGGAGCAATTAATTCCACAGATTAAGTCCAAATTATATCAAAGGATTCTAGTTTTAATCAGCACATAGTCAAGAGAAGATTAAAACTAAGCCCATCCAAGCACAGCAGAGAGGTTTTGATCAAGTTGAGAGACTTTGCGCATTCCACATACCAGGACCTCAAGCAGCAATTAAACTGGGGAGATCATTCTATGCTGATTACAAATAAAAATACTTCAAGCATCCAGCCCTGGGCCTAGATTATGTCCAAGTGCTACAAGGAAAAGTCAGTTTCCATTTCTCAAACTCAATACAAGAAAATTACTGAATGCACTTTTTTGGAAAAAATATCTCTGAAAACAGAACTGAAGTTGCACAGGACAGGAAGGCTAAGAGATGCTGTCACTTGAATTCAAGGCAGGTTTCCTCTATAAACCCAGGAGTGACATGTTGCCAAATGCAAATAAACATTCCATTCCTTGGGATGGGGGGATAACAGGAAGCAAAAATGTACAAAGAAACCTGAACAGGACTTTAAAATAATTTTTATTTCTTCCAAATAACTTTAAATAGAGTCTGTGCAGCAAAGCAAGCATAGAAAGCTGCATTTGAGCTGTAAAATGGTTTGGAGAGTGGTCTGCTTCCTCTGAAGCATAACATGTCAGTAAATACTATTTACAGTGATCATATCGTAGCAGTTGAATATACTGAAAAAGCACTCATTGTGGCACTCAACTACTTAATCTGCACAGGGATGTGCTCAGCATGCTCACGATTAAACATTTCCACTTAGGTTACATTCTATTGTAAGGGCTTTCAAGAATTTTGCAGCTGTACTTCAACCTGAGGTCAGACTTGTACAGCCAAAATATCTCATGAACAGCATGCTGGAGGATTGTGCAATTTAAGGAAAGAGTTTTTCCATATAGGAAGATAAACTACACTCCCGATAAGGCACAACAGACATGCAGTGGATGTTTCATCCATTCATCTCCCTTTCCTAATGCTACCTTTTATCCTTCTAGCAGAAATTAGAGCACTGTGGGTTTTGTTGCTGCTGTTTGGGTTTTTTTAAGGTAATGTAGAAGGACAAAAAAAAAAAAAAAAAAGACTATGCCATTACTATATAATAAAGGCATAGCAGAATTACCCACAGGGTGGGGAAGGGGTAGGACAGGCAAGTAACAAATGACTCTACGACAGCAATTGTACTATTAGCACCGTGATGCGTGTGCCTGTGTTTCATTAGGCATAGACCAGCTAAGCAACAGAGAAGGGGTTTGGAGGGGGACAGAAGAGAAAGAAACGGGATCTGGTAAAGTTAAGGACAAAGACCATAAATGGAAGGAGGAGGGCTGGTGGTGGCAGCTGCCCAGCACGTGTGCGCTAGACCTTCTGTGCTGCAAGTCACAGCTCTGCAATCTCACGGCTTCCTGCTCCTGCTGCACCTTCCCCTTCACCGTACCTGGGGCCATCCGTGTGCTCCACACGCTGCTGACCCCACGCCAACCTGAAAACCTGCACCAAGCCATAGCTTGGGACTGAAGGATGGGGACAAGGAAAAAGGGAAGAAGAGAGGCTCCACCTAAATCCTATCATCTCACAGGGGAGCAATGACATCTTCACCACACAGTTGCTACTTGAGCCTATTCCCTTCCTCCTCTGCACATTTGCTCACACTCCAAATCAAGTTCAGAGAGACCCTAAAAACCAGTGGCTCCTCAAATCTTGGTAATGACAGTAAAGAAACTGTAACCAGAAATGTTGTTAAGCAGGTTCTCCTTGCCAACTGCAATGGAAGCAAAGACAAAACTGTTAATCCTATATTTATAAACCTTACAGAGAACACGTTCGTACTCACACAGGTAGCCAACATCAAGAAGAAACTACTAGGTCATTGCTTGTCAGTGAAAATGTGTGTTCCACAGTAAATTTATTAACATTTGGTCCACTCAAGAATACATCAAGTAACTGGACTTCCCATATTTCTCCAGGGGGTTATTTTATATCTGGTAGCTCTCATACATACAAAGGTTGTCCTAAGTAAGTGCAGCTCCATCACTGCACTCCATTTCATCATGTTATTCCTACCTATCCCGTAAAAGCAACTATGCTGCCACCTCTGTATGTGCAAGCCTAAAGTTTCCATCAATTACCAAGGCTTGCTATCACCAGTAAATTCACCACATAACATTTGTCAAACTTAATCTGGAAGGGAAATCAATAAAAAAGGTTCTCTCCCACAAGAATGTTAATGCCATTGTCTTCTAGGGTATGAATTACAGGAAATTAAGTCACCATTATATTGGTGTTAGTCAAAAGAAGCTATTTCAGAAGATTAGATGGATTTCACTGAAAGAACTGTTGATATTCCCTGTTTAGACAGTTGAGAAAAATAGTATTGTGCTGACATAACCTGTCAAGGAGAACGAAGAGGATAAAAATATGCTGCATCAGAATACCAGGGACTTTAAAACATAAAAGTTAGCTAGTAGCAAAAAAACACCTGAACAAAACAAGAAAAATGTAGTGTTTGTTACTGTCAGAGCTGCAACCCACCACATCACATTCTCTTTGTTTGAGATGCATTAAAAATTTCTTGCAAAAACAAAAAAGTCCTACTGAAACAGTGTAATTGTTACTGATTAGCACTTGCCAGCTGAAACAGATGAGCACTTCATAAAGTGTGCACAGCTACAGCCTTGATATCCCTCTCCCACTCTGCGTAAACTGCCTTAAATGCTAGCTGAGCTTGCACAGAGTCAGTATGCTCTGTAACCTCTCAAGATGCCCGTTTTCTTCTACTTCTCCATCAAAAGACTTGGCTGATGCAGTGACAGCTATCCGGAGCTACCAGCTAGCTGAAAAGTAAAACTGACTGGTAGTGAGATTTGCTCTCCCTGAAGACAGCAAAGAGGCTGTGAAGTAGGGAGTTACTGCTTTGTTTACCTGTCTCCCTGTCAATCTAGTCCTGAAATATTTTCCATGAAGGCAGCAGCAAAGGGAAAGTGGCATTCCAGCTGGCTTCTAAATAACTCTGCTATAGCTGAAGCCACCACAGTCACTGTGGAGATCAACACAGGGCAGAAGTCAAGGGGAAATATGAAGAAAAGGTGGCATATAGGACAAGAAAAGCATCAAAAGAAGGCTTGAGATAAGGGAAACATCTGTAGTTGTGGAAGATAAGCAGATCTCCCACAATGTAAGTTACTGAAGCCAAAATTAGCAAGTTGGGGGGGGTGGGGGTGGTGGCAGCACTGGGGTATTTATACAAGTATCAACAGCTCAACGGTCAACAACAGTCAATAGCAGACAAAAAAACCTAAGTGACACAAAATTCTTTATTTCAGAATTTAAATTTCACTCTCCAAATACTATCAAAGGTCAAGATGGGACCTGATATGAGAATACACAAGATGTACCTACTGCATGGCGCTTCTGAAGCTCTCTGAAGCAGCCAGTAGCGGTCACTGTCAGAGAAAAAACTAAAAGGACTGTAGATACAACAATTCCTGTTAAAATGAGAGTGGTCAAATGAGCACTGGAAGCCCATGAACTGCCCAAAACATTTCTGAGGCCTCTGGACCAGTCATGCTGCTGCTGAGGACATATTTAACAATGAAACCTGCCAAGAATTAAACCCATAACTGATGCAGCAGTAGCTGAATCTATGAGAATTGGTTCCGAGTGATGGAATTCTACCTTTGAGTCTTTGTTTGCAGTCAGCAGGTTGCAGAGTAGAGCAGAGCTTTTCCAGGTGCTCGCTCTCTGCACAGTGCATGACAAAGAAGAGCCTCCAAAGCATGTTGCTGGATAAGGTTCTGTAAGGCATCTCGGACATGAATAACCAGACTCCCAACCTGTTGGATTTGAAGATGCAGATAGAAACGGTTTCACCCTGATAAATCCCAACATTTGAAAAGGAGACATATGCCCCCATCTCTGCCATATAACAGAATTAGGAATGGGAGGATGCGTCTTAGCATCTCAAATTCTGAGTTAACCTCATTCTGAACTGAGCAAGTCCCCAGAGCTTCTGCCAGATGCTAGAATTCAAGACACAGCTCCTCCCCATCTTACTACTACCAATATGCTGAAAAATCCTGCATATTGCAGTCTTGTTTAAACCATTAAGCATTTAAAGCTACTGCAATTCCCAGTTTCAAATATCTAACTCCTCCAAGATGAAGCCAGCATCAATCACATTGGACAGCCTACCTTTTTGCCTTCAGAACATGGAGAACAGCTCTAAAAAACAGCTCATCAAACTCCAGTTGCAATTTTTCCACAGAGTAGGGATGCGCTACTGATCCATATTGTTTATTGCTGCTAACGTATTGGGCCCAGTGGTCACTCACATGACAAAGTGTCATCCTATACAGCAGAACAAACAAGTCGCAGAAGGATCGTTAAGTATGTCATCACCATATAAAAACACAGACAAGTGCAACTAGATCAGAGTCCGGTCACAAGAGATGTTCAACCCTTTGTCCTCCAGTTTCCAGAGATTTCCATATAAATAGCATTTCCCTCCCCTCTTCAGACAGGGTTAGTCTAAAATTCCCGTGTTATCCTTCCTTGGTTTTGCAAGCAAACAATGCATAATATCCTGTGACACCAAATTAGTTTGTGTATGAACTTTGGAGCTTAAGGTAATCCTACATTACGAAACGGTAGTACATGCAAAAAGCTCATATAGGAATAATTACACTGAGAAAGTTACTGCTCTAATAACACAGAGGAAACAAAATGGATTTTGTTTCTGATTTGATTTAACTGTATCCCCCTTAAAAACACACTCATAGAAGCCGTATCAAGTGACTGCTAGAGATTTAAAAATGAAGAGCAACTTTTAGGTTTCAATTATATGTGCTTACTGCAACAATATATTCCTTGAAAATCATCGAACTAAAAACCCTAAACCAATTCTGGATAACAACGGAAAGAAAGCAGTAACACTGGTTATAAATAGGGGTGATTCGAGAAGCTGTCTGTTGGATTTCAGTGACTTTCCAAGACAAACCTAAGCACATCCCTGATGGAAATCATCCTGGTGCTCCACAGCTCACTGGCTCCTTCGCAACCACAGCATTCAGACTCTGCAATTCCCCACTTCAGAGGCAGCTTTAGAGTCAAGGACCCTGAGATTTCAGACTCCCAGATCAGCTAACTCCAAACTGACCAACTCTCAGAGCAAAAGCTACCCAAAAACTGGCTGGTGGCGGGCAGAGGGGGTGTTCTAGGTTTTTTTGTTTTGTAGTGGGTTGTTTGGGGATTTTTTTGGCAGCTCTGAACTCTAAACCAAACTGTATGAAAAAGATTTAATCATATCACAGAGAACATATTCTCTTACTTGATCAGCTGACCAATTCGCTTCACAAACTGTCGGTATCGTGCTCTGTTAAATGTTTCTAATCCCGCAGACAGAAGTTCCACTAATGAGTTTGCAAAAGCAAAAATCTTCATCATCTCCTGGGGAGTTGTTTTTTCAGGAAAATAAGCACCTAAGACCAAGACAGACAAAAGTAAGTCTCAAAAAAGTGTGTGAATTCTGGATTTTTTAAGTAACTTAGCGAGCACTTGAAACAAGAGTTCACCATATAGCTGGCAAACAGTTCATTGTTAGTTATAGTGAACTGAAACTTATGTTTTGTTTCCGAAATGAACAATAAATACCTGTTAAGTACAAATAATCTATGCAGGTTATAAGACATCTTATCTTTTCATGAAGATCAATTATCTTCATGTACTTGTCCAGAGATTTAACAATATAAAGAATGATCAAATAATTGGGGGGTGGGGGGGAATAATAATCACAGTAACATTACAGCTAAGAGGCAACGGGGGAAAATTAGTTCGGAAAGCACATCTATGAGTATAAATATCAGCAGATCAAAACTAAGGGAAAGTACTAATGTTTTGCATGCTAGTATTGCTGTAAGTTTTTAAGTTACCCCAGACACATGGCATACACTTCCATCTTATCTATTTAGTCTGTGAGCTGTTGCACAGGTTATCACTTCACTCAGAGACTCTCATAACACAGTATCATTCTTGGCAGTTTTAGTCAATAATACAATTAGCATAAGCAAAACGAAGAATAACTCTTTAACAGACGATTTACCTCCAGACTTAAATCCAAGGAACTGCTGAAAGAGTTCATGAAATGGGAACTGTGACAACAGGGAAATCAAGTCGTCTTCCGAAAGCAGAATCCAGCTTGTTTCAGGATCCTCATCCTATAGATAAATTCAAACAGTCCCTTTTAGTAGCTTTCCAACAAAACACATGGTAGAAGGGCTTCACTGTTGTACCAGTTACAGTTTGCTTGTAAGAGGAAAGTACAAATGAACTCTCCTTCACACACACAGCCTCCTAAATTCCTCTTCTGTGTGTGTTTCTACATAAAAGTCCTTATCAGCTAGGAAACAGAAATAGAGGCAACGCTGTGCCAGTCCAACACAGCTTCTGAATGGAAACACCTATTCAAACATGTCTACTTCCATGCTCTTTTTGCATGCAGTAGCTCCAATAAGTTTAATTTCTATCTGCTAATACTCATTCCGGGAAACTCCACTACCTACAGTTATATACAGCGATAAGGAGAGTAAAATACATCTAAATTTCAAATGATGCTTTTTAACTGAACAACAGTAAGTTTTTCTTTCTCTTATTTCACAAAATCAATACAACAATCTTGAAGAAAAGCTCAAAGGAAAAAAAAAAAAAAAAAAAGAGCTGTACCTCTTCTCCTCCCTCATCTACCAGGGTCCAATTTCCAGATTCTTTCCCAGATGAAGAGGAACTTTTCCTTTCACTTGGTTTCATATGACACAGGAAGTCCACCCGATTTCTGATTTAAAGTGAAAAAATTAAGTTTACAAAAATTAGAGAACTAAAAATTCTGAATTTAGTCATCTTTTAGTTAAGATACTCAAAAACATATACAAGAACAAGAAATAAACAAGTACTTCAAATAACCTGATGTCCTACAAGGCTTGCACCAATCTCTTGTATTCCGTAAGTGATCTTCCAAGCAATATTCTGAACAATGTAAATGGCTATCAGCCCTGTAGAGCAAGCACATTTAAATACACAAGAAATAACACTATTCTTTTCCATGTGCAGGAAAAGTCCTTCAAAAAATGAGAGTCGTATTTCAGAAAAGGTATTCTACAACAACCATTTAAGGCTATCACTTGGTGAGTCAACAATGAACAGGATTTTGTGCAGGCCACTTCCACTGTACAACTTTCATAGCTGCTTTAGCTGGACACCACGTCAACGTTAGTAAGACTGGTCTTAGGTACGCTGAGCTACACCACAACTGAAGACCTTCCAAGGGAAGAGTTGCCTCAAATCAAGCCAGCTCCAGTTCCATGTATTAGACCACCTTAAGTCCGGGAGTTTTCAGACCCTGTACCATATAAAACCTTAGTTGTTCAGGCATATACCAGCAAGGGGGTGTTGATCGACAGCCGGCAGTGTGCCCAGGTGGCCAAGAAGGCCAACAGCATCCTGGCTTGTGTCAAGAATAGTGTGGCCAGCAGGAGCAGGGCAGGGATCGTGCCCCTGTCCTCGGCACTGGTGAGGCCGCACCTGGAATGCTGTGTCCAGTTTTGGGCACCTCACTACAAGAAAGACATTGGGGTGCTGGAGCGTGTCCAGAGAAGGGCAACAAAGCTGGGGAAGGGTCTGGAGCACAGGGCTGATGAGGAGCGGCTGAGGGAACTGGGGGTGTTTAGCCTGGAGAAAAGGAGGCTGAGGGGAGACCTGATCGCTCTCTGCAAGTGCCTGACAGGAGGGCGTAGTGAGGTGGGTTGTTGGTCTCTTCTCCAAGAGGAAATGGGCTCAAGTTGCGTCAGGGGAGGTTTAGATTGGATATTAGGAAAAATTTCTTCACAGAAAGAGTGGTCAAGCATTGGAACAGGCTGCCCAGCAAGGTGGTGGAGTCACCATCCCTGGAAGTGTTCAAAAAAATGGGCAGACGTAGCCCTTTGGGACATGGTTTAGTGGGCATGGGGGTGTTGGGTTGATGGTTGGACTGATGATCTTACAGATCCTTTCCAACCTTAGTAACTCCTAGTTTTACTTTCATTTGAAGTTAAACAAACATGCAGGAAGGTTGTGTAAAAAGTTGAAAGCATAACATCCAACTTCCTTCTAACTAGAAATGTTCCAGTAGAACTCTGCACACAGTGCCACAAAACTCCAGGATAATATCACCCTCCTGATCTCCTTGAACTTATACTCTGATAAAAGGAACATATTACAAATTAAATACAAGTTTTAAGATACTGATTTCACCAACCAAATTCAGAATTCAAACTTGTTGCTGACATGCAGCTGCTGTAACAGCCAAGTGTCAGCTCTTTTAACAGAAAACACAGCCCTTATGGAGGCTCTGCGTTCTTGTATCAATAGCTGAGAGCACCACTCCAGACACACTGAGTTAGCCCTTGTTCAAAACACAAGCATCAAAATGCACTGGCAATATTCATGCTCTCACGACACACTTGTTTCCCCAAGCAGCTCTAGACAGGAAATGTACAACCAAAACCTCATAAAATAATAGCCTCCAAGCAATGGGACTCCCACTTAACTCAGGGTCAGACTATCAAGATCACGGTGGCAACCCTAAATACCAGCAGGTTTGATTCTTTCACTTTAAAATTTGGGCAGGGGAGCGGGCAAGTTATGTATTTTACCTGAAGCGTCTAACAGTTTTCACTAATGATTGATTTTATTAACTAGCTTCTCCAAGCACCACGTACTCCTTCTAGATAAAGAAGGATGAAAAAATTCAAGCAGCACAACCAGTGTATACACCAACTTAACCAACCCTTTACGCAGGGGCTTCTGTTGCAGAGACAGTATAATAAACAGGCCATCATGCAAGGCAAGAACTTTATTTCAGAAGTCACAGTAACAAGACACGTGGGTATGTCAGTCTTCACAAGGTATTCAACAGCTGAAAGCAAGCTGCATCATACAGTGCACAGTAGGAGAATGTACTGCCAAGGCTGTACTTGAAGATGAATGAGTAAAACGAGTTTGACTTAAACTGTGAATCTCTTATTTGTGCCTGTTTTAGGACTTTGCCTGCAATGAACTCAGGGTTTTACAAGCAGATCTTGTGTCATGTGTTCTACTCTTAAATAATCAGAAAGTATTTACAAAATCATATTCATACTTACTTGACAGGAGACATAAGCAAGGCAAGAGATTGCATGAAATGAAAGACACCTGAGGGGTTATCCAAGACTTTGATCTGAAATTAAATGCAAAAACCTAAGTAAATCTAAATAAACAAAGGGCACATTAGTTTTATCAGAGAAATTAAAATTCAGAGTTTCACATTTTTTACTAGCTTTTTGTTCACACTAAAAAGTATCCATAAAAGACAGTACCCACATCTTGGAAAAAGTATTACTATGGCAAAATATTGGGAATTGTCCAAAAGAAGTACTTATAGAAATGAAAGGAAGAGAAAAATTAAAAAATCAAAAGCTCCAGAAAAAGACAACTTCTCTCTTTGTTTCACGTGTACTTCTGGGCACCAGGGGGAACTGGGATGTTGAGCACAGGGGAAGTTAGGATCCTCCTGTGTTAGGTGAACAGTTGGACTCAATGACCTTAAGGGTCCTTTCCAACCTAAATGATTCTATGATTCTATTCTATCCTTTTATTTCATTGCTTGCCTTTCCCCTGTTAGTGTAATTGCAATCCTTTTCCTACGGCTAGATTTCCAACATCTTCCCCTCTTGGAGGAGCAAAAATGTTCTTTGCGAGAACGCCCTGGTGCCTTTGGATATCTGCACTCCCTCCAATCTATACAAAGTGAACCTTTTCCCTTGCCCTTGAAATTACCCAACTAATAAACTTTCCAGGGAAACCGGTCCTATTCCAACGCGCAGGATATAAAAATCTGTTCTTCCTCACGCCTTATACAGAGCCGCCTCCAATCTCACTTGTCTCATAAACAGCTGCTGCTTCAAGTCTAAATATTCTTTCCTTTTCTTGGAGAGCGCTCCCAAAACCTGCATGAGGCCTTCTGAGGCACGCCACAAGTCCTTGACTCCCTTTCATGGAGCCTCTCTAGCCAAGAACGAGAAGTGTGTTTCCTTGTTCACCTGCTCAGGGTTGGGCTAACACGGGTGAATACATCCCTTGACAAAGCCCTCACTGTTACCATGATTCCACACACCTGGAAACACACAGCAGTCATGAGGGATTGGCTAGGCAAAAGACACTCTCCTCTCCTACCCACTGCACTCCCACTCCAACTTTCTGACAATAAAGAATTAAACATTCACACCTGAATGAACGGAACAGCCCATTCGCTGATCCCAGCTGGACACCGAAGGATGTGGTTGAAGAGGAAGAGGTGGTCACCTGGACAGCCAATTCTTTGCAACACTGACACCTAAAGGGAATTATATTGGAATCCTGTAAACAATTTCAAGGTTTATTCCTTTATAGTCTTGCTAACTAGGGGTTTCTTTTTTTTTCATTTACCCCCCCCCCCGCTTTCTAATAAACCTCAATTTTCACAGCAAGTTACAAGAGAACAGTACTTAAAAGTCTGCTTGCTTGGCTTATGAGCCACAAACTGTTTTCTTTGCTGTAGAAAATTTCATTACTTTACAATTGCATCAAAAACTAATTTATTTAGAAATCAGCAAGAATAGAAGTTTCTCAAAACTGACAAGCCTGAATAGTTTTACTTTCAAAATAAGTAAAAGCATAACGAATACTAAGCCCACTTTGAGCAGCCTTGGCTGCTCAGGTGCCAGTCCTCATTAATGCTGCTGACCTCTACTGACTTCATGAGACAAGGGAATTCATTCTAAAAATTCACTAACAGATTCTGTTCCTCAAGTAGAACAAAAAAAAAAAAAAAAAATCATTGCATGTGGGACAGTGAGAGAAACACTTTCACAAATTACTCCCAAATTCATCCCATGTGTTGGGTCAAACAGCTGTATCCACGCTGACTCCCTCACCAGTCTCTGCAGCCACATGAGAAGGTCACTCTGAAACTGAGGATCTTCAATAACTCTGCGAGTGAAACTGAAAAGGACGCTGATGCACTCCTTCAAGTGGCCCAAGTCTGAAGAAATATTTTCTGACTGCTTTGAAACTGTAAATTAAAACCAGAATTAAGGAGCTTTGATGAGCAGCGCTCAGAGTAGTAGCATAAGTAGTGCTTTTGTGGCTATATAGAAAACATGCTCTCTAAATCTATAGATACCAAGTTATTTCAACACAGTTGCCTGCTACATCTGACAGAGAAGAACACTTTTTTAGAGTACTTTATTTAATCTTATAATTAAGCACTGGACACTAGTTACAAGAAGAATATACTACGGTTATGCTCATAAAAGGCCTCCCCTCAATGTAAACTTTCTAAGAACCACTGTTTACTATGCATATAAACTATCTGGGAGGTGGGAGGCAAAGGGAGGAGGACTAGGAAGGATAAATATCCAGGGCAGGAAGGGGAGGAATACTTTAGCTAAAAGATTATATTGGCACAAACCCAAATAAGTAATACGCCTAGGATGAAAACCGGGAAGATTTCTAGGTATTAGAGCTGCAAGACTCCAAATAGCTTTCCAAGAGGGAGTAAAGCAGGAAAAATATCGAGCTGGTTTTAGAATTGCGCATAATCAATTTGGAAATGGGACTGTATTATACATTGCCTTTGACAACAAAAGATTGGAGCCTGGGTGTCCCATCCCACCCAGTGTTCCTCTACAGTAATCAGTTGTAATATGCAGCTTAGATAGAAGAAGGTACTCCTGCATTCAGCTTCCACCCGCCAAGTGAGTAAGTTAAGAGAATTGGAGTTTTTCCTGTGAGAAAAAAAGTTTCACTGATCCCTACATAAGATCAGGAGGTTTTAGTATCAGAGGAGAAACACCCCAGTATAGAAATTCCACCAGAAAACTCCAAAACTGCAGGTGAACAAGGTGCTGGGCAGCCTAAACAGCATGGGGAGCGGTCTAGACCAGCAACACACCTTGTTCTTGCTGCTGAAGAGCCACTGATCTCAGCAGGGACGAGCTGCTGAGCAACCTGTAGACGTAGGACTCCACTTGCAACCGGGACAACACCGAAGTGTACGAGTGCAGCGCCAGCGTCTGATGCACGTGCTCTGCTTTGGCTTCAAACAGCTTTTTCAGTTCCCCCAACACACTTTCATTCAGCTCCACTGTCTGGTAGCGATGGTGACCTGTCACTTTGCACTGATCTGCACAGACACCCTGAAAAGAAAGCAATTATTTTATTTAAGTGGCTTTGTCATTTTGTTGGGTCAAGCATGCTTACAGAAATTAACCTTGACATAACCCTACCCTCAACAGATTTCAAAGCTTTCATAAAAAGGGGCCACTTTGCAGGTGGACAAGACAAACACATCGGAACACCCTACATAATTTTTAGAGCTGCTGATTAGTGAAGATGCACATCCCTGACTTCTGAAAAGATGACTCTACAAACCCTCAATAATTCAGATTCAGAAATAGATACGAAGTGACTTGTCTGTATCACTGACAGACGTGAACAAAATCAGGTCTCTCTAGTCCTAGCAAGCACACCTGCTTCTCAGCTTACAGATTTCCATCAATATTTGGATCTGCTATTTTAAAGCTAAAATATCTACTGAAACAAAATAAATATTCTTCTAAGCTCCCAGAACTGAATATTCATAGCAATTCCCCATTATACATTTAAAATTTTCAGAAATTAACTGTACTCTTAACTTTGTCCCAAACTGGAATTAAAAGCTGAGACTAGTCTTCCTCTGCCCTATCTCTAATTCTTCAACACAAGAAAACAACAATACATAATATTCCTATTATTCTTTTATGCAACCAGGAAACATGCTTCAGAATCAGCACTTTGGAAGCTTAGCCTGAAAGTACCCCTGAGTTTCCTAAGTTAGTAGAATAAGAATTTTAAATTAGTATAAAGACAGCAATTATTCTGGACATACAATAAATACACAGTGAATCAGGATGGAATAAAGCAAGCAGCAAGCTTAGCCAACTGTATGATGACCAGTGGGGATGTAAGAGTGAAGCTAAAATTGCTTTCAGTGTAGAAAGTGATAAACACAAAACCGAGAGTCCAGCGAGGTTCAGTGATACAGGCTGTTATTCCCTAATAAAAAGGAAAAGATCCAGATCTGTTCAGTGGATGTCTCCCAGCTCTGAAGAACTGCACAGGAGAGGCACTGCACTCACAGAAACAACAGTAAAAGCCATCACATACATAGGTACTTAGAACCCTTGGACTATTTTGTTGATGTGTTGGCTATAAACAGCATCAGAGCGCCAGAACGATTTCATTCACTCCCACTGTAACAACCAGCTCCAAAAACAGCTTACACAGAATCAGCTTGGGGGAAAATTTTTCTGATAGGTGCACCAAAGAGCTCTCCAGACTCCTCTGGTTTGCAGACAAAAATGCTACAGAGTACCACGACCACCCTGGAAGTAGCTAAAACCACAGCACCACTTACGGAGCAAGTTACTGGAAGCGGATGGACTCCACACTCCCTATGCTTTGAGCAACAGGGTCACCCACAAGCACGACTCAAGCTCCTCTGCAGCTGTCGCTCCTGACAGCAGGACAGTCAGACATGACGTCAATGAGAACTGTCATTTAGAGGCAGCGTGCCAGATGGGACATCACCGCTACAGTCACGCTGAACTCCTGCTCCACCACGTATGCCCTGCGTCTACCTCAAGTACCACGGCACAAACTTCACCCAACACTGCAGGCAGAAGTGGCTGTATGCAGGCTCGTTCTGACTGACTACAAACATGAATCTGACTCCAAAAGAGATCACCAAGAGATCCTGCTCCTCTACACTCGTCAGTTTAAAAACCAAACAACAAACCATCTTAAATCTCAACAGGATGATACTTGGAAGTACTGGGGATCAGTGGAGAGACAGAAAAGCAAAGGCAATCATTTCCCTTTGAATAAAACAGCTTAAATACGGTAAACTTGACAGCAAGTAAAATTAACGTCTGGAATCACGTCCAAATAGTTTGGGTTCAAAAGTAGCTTCTGCAACAGCACCTGCACAGTTTTCTGTTCTTCTTTAAAAGTCCATAATCTCCCCTTAATGTTTTGGCAGTCTGTCGTCATAGCCTGCAGCTTTGCCTCAGCCAGCAAGAGCTGCTTCCTGCAGCGCATGTAGTTCAGGAGCAGTTCATAAAATTCATGCCTGTCCTGATGAGCAACGCTTTCAAATTCCTCCGCATAGGAGTCAACATTTTCTAACCATGAACACGGCTCAAAAATTTTCAGCTGTTCTCTGGTAAATGGCACCAGCTCTGGTTCGGTTGGGAGCTCGGGATACAGCCTTTCAGTGTGCAACAGCGGTTTAACTGCTATTACGGTTGGTCTCTCATAGGACAATTCAGCCGACAAGTCTGGATAAACTGGTTTCAATCCCGAAGACTGAATACGTGTTTTGTACTTCTCAGAGAGCTGTGAGATACTAAGAGGAAGCTTCTCTGAAGAACGGACAAGAGGATTTTTAACATCTCGTACGTTTTCAGTTCCTTTGTCCCGTACAAAGCCCACTGCTGTCTGAGAGCCAGCAGCAGTGGGATGAAAGGTGCTACTCAATAAATCAGAGTTTCCTGATCCGCTAGCAACTGCCTCCACAGGGCTGTGAGGTTTGTCCGACTTGCCTTCTCCACTCTTCTCAACATTCGCCCCACATTCCTCATGGGAAGGATCAGCTTTGAACTCTTCTGCATCTGTGGGAGGCTCTAGACTCACTGCCAAAGACCCTTCATTTGCTGAAGATAAATTACTCCGGGGGATGTCACACACATCATTTATAGTTTTTCCATCGTCTACTTCATCGTTGAGCTGAATTTCTGTAAATTCCCCAGCATGTTCCACTTGCACTTTACTGGCTTGGGAAGACACTTCTGCCGTGGGAGGCAGGAAGACATCATCAGACTCTTGTATCTGGGACTCCTCACTACTTTTTTTCTTTTTTTCCTAGGGGAAAAAAGAAAAAAAAAAGAAAATTAACAGAGTGTCACTAGCAAGTGAATCTCTCCCCCTCGCATCTCAAATCCCACGATCACCAAAACTAGTATTTGTCAGCATCACAACTCCAAAAGCCCCTCTTATCACATTAATTTTTATAATATTAAAGGTAAAAACAAATGTACCAAATCGTTCCTTGTTCTTTACCTGCCCTTTGAAGACTGTCTATCAGTGGTTATTTTCTTAGTCAGTTCTTGAACAATGCTTCACCATTTCTACGTAAAAAGCTATAAATATCACAGGACAGACTGTTTCCTTAATACATAAAATAATCAAAATAGCAGGACCCTGACCTCTAAAAAGAGTCACTAGGATTCACCATATTGCAAAAAAAAAAAAAAGTTACTCTGTGATTCGTCTTAAGTTTTACAGAAATATTTTAATGAATGGAAGATTATTTTCGAAACAGTACTTGCAGAAAAAAAAGAAAGTCTGGAATACACCCCCTAATTACATTCTAAAACCATCACAACATCTGTACAACTACTGACATACCTATTTTCCATAGGTATTGCACACTAGAGATGTAGAAAAACTTAGCAGTGACATTAAAATTGTAAACTGATTGCCCACTTTTAAATTCAGATCAGTTTGGGGGTAAATAGTTCCCATAAACCTAGTCTGAGGTGTAGATTAGCCTCCTTCCCAACGCATAGCATGGGAAATAACATTGCACGGGAAATCAACACAGATTTTGTCAATTTGTAAATCGTTTGCCAATTTGTAAAACAAAAAATTGGCAAAGTGTTTGGACAATTTGTAAATTGGTTATGTATACCTCCCAGATTATTAGAAGTGAAACTGAGAAGAGTTAGGTAACAGCGCTCCAGTTCTGGATGACCCAGATAATACAGCAAAGAACACAGCTGAAATTAGGAAAAGCTCTCAATACTCCTCCATGATCGGGGAAAAAATGATAAGTTTTGGAAACCTGCTGACAGTATCACATATACTTTCCCTAAACACCTGACATGACTTTGCCTTATGAGAGGGCATACATGAAAACAACTCAAATCAAGGCCCTAGCTTACCCCGATCTCAAGCCTAATTTTACATCAAGCAGATGCTCACAGCTCCTTTACAAAATGGCAATATGCTGGCTTTGCTTTCAGACTGTGTTTCCAGTATATTAAAAGCTGTAAACGCTTCTGATCACAAAAACTTCCGACACACTCCAAAGCTAGCTAAAACTACGGGTGAGAGGTTAAAAACAGATCAGCACAATTCTTTAAACTAGGACTTGTAGTTATAATAAACATCTCCTGACAATTAACTCAGAGTCAGGAATTTCCACAGGTTACTATGTCACTAGATCATATTTTTGACAGTGTACTGATCCGCATACTTTACAAGTACACACTTGTCCCTTCCCCTCTACAATCTCAAAGTTCCCTCTTGTAGTCCTTGCACAGAAGAAACTCCCTTTGAGTAGCATCCTGTATTTCTCCCAAACACTCGCATTAGATAAAACAGTTTATTTTAAATTCATGAAGTGCCTTTCAGTTCTCGCTTTCCAAGGCAAAAAATGCCCCATAATCGTTAACAGGGATTTCATCTGAGAAAGAATGAGAGAAATCAGGTCCTGAATCAACATGAAAGCAAAACCTGCTGTTCCTTCTTCTGAGCGTTTAGCCTTTAAGTCAAGATGACGCCTGCTCGTTAGCCTTGTCCCATGCCTAACCATTCTCCTCTCCTAGCACGTCAGTGAACGACACCTCAAGCTCTAAGGACACCTACTATTTTTCAGGAAACATCTCTGAAGTAACCGAGTGCTACCCACCGAGATACAGCACACAGACACCCAGCCTCATCTTCACCAGTTCCAGGTTCGCTGGTTTTCCCACCTCACCGTGTTTGAAACAGTCTGGTGTTACTGGTTCTGGACAAGCTTAACTTTGGGGCTACTATTCGCAAAAAGCCCCGGTCTCCATTCCACTACTTGGCGGCTCTGCAGCTGAGCCAGCCTTTCTCCCAGCTCACGAGAATTTCAGCTTTTCAAAGGATTATGGCTTTTTCTGATGCATGGAAATGGCAAAGTCCTTAATGTGACCGAGCCCCAAACTGCATCCTCAAACACCCCTCTGTATTAACAGAACTAAGAATAATAATAGCAACAAAAATATCAGGAATGGGTCATGTGTAACACTGAAGGATTCTGGATTCTCACACGTGAGATCGGCAGTGAATTGTTTCACGGTGAATTACACCTGGAAGGGACAACCAAAGACAGCGGCCACTGGAGTCACCGTACACGTGTCCTTAATGAACTGCCAGCGTCATCTGTGACTCACTGCCTTCCTGCAGGGAACCGATTCTCCTAAAGCAGCAGTCTTTGGAGTTAACCGCCTTGCTCACGCTGCGGGGCTGAATCAAAACCAAAACGACGACACGCTTACTCTTCTGGAATTGCTCTTCCCTCCAGTCATTACTTGCCTCAATTTCAGGGATCACAGCTGCAGTTGATACTTGGCTCTAAGCCTTGTGTTACAAAAGAGTGGCCAATTAATCCATTAATTTATCTTCAGAGGGCTTTGACGGCCATGACTTCAATGCCTTTACTCTATGTGGTGCAGTTTACAACACACAGAGGTTAAGCAATTAAGGGAAACCTTTCCATTTTGACTCAACTCTGAGGGGAGATTTTTGGGTCAGATGATTTCCACAAACTACTAGAATTCCACGCAGCACAACTGCGAGGAAAGCAAAACCTTCAGAAAGCTGTTGGTGCTAACATTGCGAACAAGGAATACACTCACAACGGGATTAAAACCTGGGAAGCGTGATACTTACCAACTGTAGCACCAACTAACGAAGAACAAACGCTGGCGTCTGCTATACAGGGCCTCACGTTTTGAGCATTTCAAAGCCAAACTTATACATATAAGATGTAGTCAGACCGCCATCTGACGCCATATGAAAACGCTGCTAAATGCCAATAAGCTCTATTGCTCTACAGCTTCACCACAGAAGCAGCCCCAGCTCTCCCACCACGCAGAGCTATTCGAGAAGGCCGCACACCACAAGAATAAAAAGCTTGTTTACACTCGCTCACAGCACAAGGCCTGTCGCAGCCTTCACCGGGCCGCCAACTACTCTTAAGTCTTCTGACATCGCTTCAGAAAAGCGCAGACATCCAGAAGTCTTTTTAGGAAAACACCTTCCCCGCCCTCCCTGCTTCCAGGGAGCAAACACGGACATAAACACCGCCCGGAGCAGACACCCTTTCTGTCGCTTTGACAAACAAACAGGGGGAGGGGGGAAAAAAAAAAGCGACCCCAAATACGAGCCAAACCCCTTGACCAAAGTCCCACGGTGTGTAAACACACACACCCCCCCC